CTATCTCTCCCCTTCTCAGAGAAAAGGACATTAAACAAGTAAGTGCATTGTTAACTAAGTTAACTAAGCAGTTATCTCATGAGTGCCAAATTTGGTGCGATGCAGCAAGGGAAGTTGTGTTTTTTTCCCCTCTCAAGTCACTGCCATTCTGCACGCACGCTGACTTAAGATGGTTTGATTTATGATTTTTGGTTTCATGAGTTTTGGAAAGAAAAGTGTTATTGTTCTTCATCCTTAACCCTTGGAATATCCAAAATAGGAAGCATCTTTTTTATATGCTAATGAAATGATTGAGGACTGGGGCTTCCAGCTAGCCTTCCTTAGAGGGTCTGGTTATCAAGGAGACAAACATTACTAAGTGCTCAGAATTTCCACATTCCTTACCTCCTGACCTCCTGGGAGTTGAGCATCAGTGGTCAAGGATTTCATCAGTCTTGCTGAATGTTTCCAGATTGATGCAGATGGAGGTGCTAAAGGCTGGTGCACCTGGAGAGAACTCAGAAGTCCTGTGTCCTTTCCCCAGCTTCTTGCCCATTACATCTCTTTCGTCTGGGTGTTCACCTGTATCATTGGAACTACCTCTTATAATGGGGTTGCTCCTGGTGGCTGTGGTTTGGATATGGTTTGAGTGTGTCCCCTATCCCAATGTGATGTGCATAGTGGTGATGGAAAGTTGTCAGGTTACTAGGGAGAGGAAGGCTGTTCTCAGAGGGATTAGTGTGGCTCCTGGGGGACTGTAGTTAGTTGCTGTGAGAGTGGATTGTTACAACAATAGCAATTTTGGTCTCTGAATCTGATTTCCAATCTCATCACATCATCTCTACCTGTAGCATGTGCTCCTCCATGATGCCATCCACTATGCTAGGAGCTCTCACCAGGATACCACCATCATGCTCCTGAATCTCTGATACTTAGAGATAAATAAACTTAATTTCTTTATGCAGTATCCATCCCCTTAAATTGTATTATAACAGCAAAAAAATGAATTAAGACTCCTGGGAAGTATCATCAGCTCCTCTAAATTCTGTGAGCCATCAGATGCTAACTCACATCCACGGGAAGAGGTAAGCAAGAAAGTCTTAGCATTTCTACCCCGAGACATGAGTTACCAACTGATACAACTTGCTTATTCAGAGTTTTGTTCCCACCTATATTCTTTGTGCTATCATTGCCAAAGCATATTTCTCTCTATTGCAGGCCCAATAATACAACACTGTTTTGTTCAGTTAATTTTAAAAGGAATACATGCAGTAGTACTGAAAATTATCCATATTATCTTTTTGTCCTTGAACTCTTTGTCTTTTGACTATGATGTATCTGAGAATGGATGACTTTGCATTTATCCTACCTGAAGGTTGACTATTTTAATTACATATCATTTTCACCTAATTTGGATTTTAGGTTATTCTTCTTCTGTTCCTTTTTTTCTTCTAGTAAAATTCCCGATAGTTATGTTTTAGTATACTGAATGATGTTCCATATTTCCCTGAGGCTCTGCTCGTTTTCCATTCTTTTTTTTCTCATTTTCTTCAGATTGTTTTATCTCTGTTAAACTATAAAACTTTGTAGATATTATGTTCTTTCAGTTCAAATTTGTTGATTGGCTTTCTGGTTTTTTATTTCAATTATTATACATTTTTACTTCAGGATTTCAGTTTCTTTGTTGGTTTGCTTTATGGGACCAGACATGGTCAACATGCTTTTCTTTAATTTCTTATATTTGGTTCCCTTGGATGTCCTTTTCTGCCACCTGGGTCTATTCTGAGGTGTTTCTATTACCTGCCTTTTATGTTCATGTGTATAGATTGCGCTTCTCTGTCATAGGATCTTATATTGAAAACTGGACATTTTAGCAACATTGTAGTAATTCTGTTTGTACCCTGGGAGGCTGTTTGTTTTCTTGGTCATTTATTTTCTTAGTAATGGTAGAATTAATTCAATGGCATTGATTTTCCCCTCAGTTCTCAGTCACTGAAGATTTTTTCCTAGTTTTCCTCTTTGGATCCAGTTATCTATAAGTCACTCTAGATTGATACAGCACTTCTTTATTGGAGAAAGGTTTGTGTACAGTACCCCTGGGGCAGCTGGACTTTACTTTTTATCTTTCGGTTGTGTGGATTGAAGCTACTATTACAGTTTGGTAGGTTTATATTTCTGTCCCCCTACATTCAGCCAAGAGTGAATAGCTTGGATACTCCCACTGTCATGGCTCCTGAAGAGGAGCATCCTTTAACATGGTAGTATCCGGGGCTTTCCAAAGAAACAGACCTAACAAGATGTATGTATCCATACAGTGAGATTAGTTTAAGAAAAAGGTCCATGAGTTTGTTGGACTGGCAAATCTGAAATCCTCAGGGTAGACCAGCAGGCTTGCAGGAAGCAGGAAGGCATTCTAGAGGAAGAATTCCCTCTTTCTAGGTGACATCAGGCTTGGTTCTATTAAGAATTTCATTTGATTGAATAGCCTACCATCTTTAAAGAAGATAATCTGTTGCACTCAAAATGTACTGATTTAGAGCTGGTATTATGGCATGGCATGCTGTGCCTCCTAAACCTGTAATGCCAGAATCCCCAGTAGGCACTGGTTTGAATCCCATGTGTTCAACTTTCAACCCAGTTCCTTGCTAAAAAGCCTAGGAAAACAATAGAAGGTGACCCAAGTGGTGACACCCCCACACCAATGTGGGAGACCCTCTTTGCTCCTGGCTTCAGGATGGACCAGTCCTGGCCGTTGTGACTATATGAGGACTGAACCAGTGGATGGAAGATTCTGTGTGTATCTCTCCTTCTCTTTCTGTAACTTGGCCTTTCAAATAAATAAGAATGTCCTTATTTAAATGAGAATATCATCCAAAAATACCGTCACAGCAAAAATTCAGTTTGAAAAATATCTGGCATAGTGAAATGACACATAAAACATAAAATTAACATTAACTTGGTAGGTACGATTATATGTTTAAGCCTGGGCCCTAGGTTAGTATAATTTATTATTCAGTCAGTATTTGGTCAACAACTGTGTTTAAGCCTCTTGTGCCAATAGGGCTTCAGTTCAAAGTTGATAGATGTGTGACCCTTGAGGAATGTTTTCAAGTCTCCCTAACATCCTGCCCTGAGCACTCCTGAGTGAAACTCAGCCATGCACGTTACCTTCCTAAACTCAAAGTTGGCTATGATTTCAATAAGAGATCTCATTGTCCCTTATGAAAACTTATGCTCTGCCCTTTAGCTTGTGACATGAAGCTGCCATTCTCCTAATTGTTCTCCATCAAGGTCAGAGAGTCTGGAGTTATCTATTTCCTGTTCTATATCAAATCAGTTGTCGGTGGAACAACCTGTTCTTATGGTCTGCTGTTGGGGGCCCTCCTGGGTGTGGCAGCCTGGACCTGAGTTGTGGCGACCATGCTGAGAATAATTGGGACTCGGGAGATGCAAAGGCAAGTAAACATGCACATTTTATTGAGTTTTTCTAAGTACTTTTACACTCAAACTTTTGCAGGGCAAGCAGGTAAGCTACTTCTTAACTAAACACTAGCACACAAGCCCCTCTAAGATAGATTACAAGGAAGCTGGGCAACAACCACCAGGCTTTATGGTAACAGCATGGCATAGATGAGTTATAGAAATCGATACTGATAAACACAAAGATTTACAAGAAAAGGAACATATCAAAACTCTGTACACAGTCATGCTGGGCCACTGGCATTAAAAGCAGAGGGAGGGAAAGTGAGGTGTCACACGTCCCCAGGCCAGCCTCCTGGTGAGGCCCCCACAGTCCCAGCAGGATGCTTGCTTCCTGGCAGCACTCAGTCTACTGAGGATGTGTGAGGCTTGAGCTCCTTGGGCATCCAGTGCACTGGTTCAGGGGGCAGATCCCTGCAGTAGTCTGCCTTTCTGCTTGCAATGGTCTCTGTGTCACTCTCCAGTCCCAGGGTGACACTGTCTAGCACTATGGGTGGGCAAGGGGAGGCACAGAATACACTTGAATATGCTTCGTTTACCCCTCCTAATTGTGGGACCTCTATACTACAGATGAGCTGGGGGAGAAGAAAGAAATCCTGCCCTCGCATTCTTAGCCTGGAACTCAGCCTAGAGCTTCTCCCTGTGATGGTGGCAGGATGGGGGTGGAGGAAAAGGGACACAGCAGAACGTGTGAAAGATAGGGACCAGCCTGGAGTAGAGCTGCTGTGACAGTGAGCTGAGGGAGGAGAGGCGAGGAATGAGAAATAGAATCAACTCCAGCAGCAGCTTGACTCACTCAAGGTAGAGCTGCAGCCACAGTGTAGGGGAGAGCTGTGGGGGAGGGGGGCTCATCCTTTGGTTGTGGCTGCCTGGAATTGAACATCCTGAGTATAGCTGCTGAACACACAGCTGGGGGCAAGAGTGGGGTAAGGTGTAAGTTGGTGATGAGGAAGTCACAGACCTTATTTTCTTTTTTTTTAAAAATACTTATTTTTATTTTTGATGTTGTTTACATAGTTGACAAGGATACATGTCCATGAGCACCACTGATTAGGGCAGGGAGGGTCAAGGTGGGTGAGACAAATATTTCCAATTTCCCTTTGCTTCCCTTCCCTCCTGTATCTGAGGGAGGGAGAGTGAGGGAGAGGTTGGAGGCTGCTCCCAGCTTGTCAAACTATGTGGGTATCTGGGGGCTTGAGGGGGGAATGTCTATTTGATGTCATCTTAGAAACCCTGATATGAAGAAGCATGTTTCAAGGGCATTACTTGGGTGGTTCTGATAGCTCTGCTGCGATGCTGTTGGTTTCATTGCTCCAAGCATCGAGAAAACCCTACAAGGTCCATTCAACCCTTTAAGGCTTTCCCTATGCCTGTGTCTTGAAGAGTGTCCCTGAAGTGTTTTTTTTTTTTTCTTTTTAAATTTTATGGTGCAATTTCATAGGGCCTGGGATTCCCCACCCTCCCAAATTTCCACCCCCGACTGATTTTCCCCATATTGTTACAATAGTATAGTCCTTCATAAGGAGTCATGAATCTACCAGAAATATATATAACGCTTCATGAATGTGCATGTCATCCTTGTGCAGGGGCTATGCTAATCTTCTCTGTATTATTCCAATTTTAGGATACGTACTGCCGGAATGAGCACGTCGCTAAAATTTTTACTTAGTGCTTTGATGGTATCAGGTCATAGATTTATAACCTTTGTCCACTGTGCACTGATTTTTGTAAAACAGGTATACATTTTGTTTCACCTTTCTGCACATGTAGATCCAATTTTTCTCGTACCGTTTGTTGAAGAGACTCTCCTTTTCCCCAGATTGATTATAGTTAACTGTTCAGAAACTACTTGACTGTAGGTGTGTGGGTTAATTCCTGGGAATTCTGTTCTGTTCTGTTGAGTTGCATGCCTATTTTTGTGTCAGAGCCAGGGTATTTGATTTACAGTCATTCCATAGTACCTCCTGAAGCCTGGTATTGTGATGCCTCTAGCTTTGTTTTTGATTTTAAGATTGCTTTAACTAGGAGAAGCAGTGGCAACAGCAGAGTGGTATTGCAGTGACCAGATAGTCCAGCAGTAGTTGGTGAGTGGCAATTCAAGCAGCCAGCAGCCAGGTGGGAAAGGGAGTTTCTGGGAGCTTGGGAGGTACACACAGGCACAGAACTGCCTGTCTTACTGATTTGTTTGACCCGACCATGAGCAAAGAAAGAGCAGTGGACTTCAAGAGCCGGTGCAGGAATAGGGTGGATCTCATAGCCTAGACCTCCACTAGTGCCACATTGGGTGCTGATTTGTGTAGTGGACAAAGGCTGAGGGCCTGGAGGATTGGCTGGGAGCAGGCTCATTTCTGGCTTACTGCATTGCACTGATTCCACAGGGAAAACGGTGTCAACTTTTCATCCTGCAGAATCCATACAGTGGGTCCATGTGGCTCCCAGACCTAACAACCAACAGGCCCATAACCCCAGCAGTGCCATGTGAGGCACCATTCTGTGTAGTGGGGCAAAGGCTGTAGGACTGGAGAGTAACAGTGCTAGACAAGGAACAAAATCACTTCCAACTCAGTACATTGCACTTGTCCCCCAGAGAAAACGGCTGTGATGTGGCATTCTGCAGGTTCTACCCAAAATGGGTCTGGCGGACCCCAGAATTAATAGCCAGCAGGCTCAGAGCTCCACCAGTGCCACATCAGGCACCATTTTGTATAATGTGATAAAGGCTGTGGATCTGGAGGGACCAGAAGTGGGAAAAAGGCTACATAGGCAATGGTGAGGCCACAGCATGGGATCACAGGAGGCGATAGGGTGGTAAGCCAGAATCTGGGACTTCAGAGGGAGTCTGTGATAGAAGCCTAGAACAAGAACCCAGGCCTGAAACTTGTTAGAGGATGTGGCACAAATGACTACAAAAGAATTGGGTACCAAACTCAATAAATTCAAGCTGTAGGGTCTGGTGTGGTAGCCTAGTGGCTAAAGTCCTTGCCTTGCACACACCAGGATCCCATGTTGGCACTGGTTCTAATCCCAGCAACTCCACTTCTACCCAGCTCCTTGCTTATGGCCTTGAAAAGCAGTCGAGAATGGCCCAAAGCCTTGTGACCTTGCACCTGCATGGGAGACCCAGAGGAGGCTCCTGGCTCCTAGCTCCTAGCTTTGGATCAGCACCGCTCCAGCCGTTTCAGGCATTTGGGGAGCAAATCAACAGAAGGAAGATCTTACTCTTTGTCTCTCCTCCTCTCTGTATATCAGACTTTGCAATAAAAATAAATAAATCTTTTTAAAAAAAAATCAAGCTGTAAACCTGTGAGTAACACAGCTTAGAAATCTGCCTTAAGGAGAAGAATCTGCTAATCAGAAGTTCAGTGACCAAGAGTAAAAGAAGAGACAGAGGTACAATGAATATTACTGAAAACTCCCCTGCAAAGGAGCAAAAGCCTCTGCCTATCTCAGAGTTAACTGAGGAAGGCATCAAGAAAATGGGGGTACAGAATTCAGAAAACTCATTATAAAGCTGCTTAAAGACAATAAGAAGCACATGCGGGATTTCAAGGAATTTAGGGAATAGCAACACTGAGACAAAATCAAGTTGAATTATTGGAAATGAAAGGCACAATAGAGCAAATTAAAATTTTGGTGGAAAGTCTCAGTAATGGATTGAAGGAGGCAGAAGAAGGATGTCAAAATTGGAAGATATTTCTTGTCACAATGGGGAAATAATAAAAAAACTGGAAGCAGAGCTGGATCAAACTAAAAACAAGTATTCACAAACTAAGGGACACTATTGAAAGGCCAAATATAAGCATTTTGGGAGTTCCAGAAGGCACAGAAAGAGAATATAGGTTTAAAGCTGTTGTATTCAATGAAATAATCAATGAAAACTTTCATAATCTGGAAAAATTATTAGGAAGCAATATCCAGGAGAGACACAGAAGTCCTAGCAAGGTTGACCAAAATTGAACTTTCTCACAACACATGATAATCAATCTCTCTTCAGCTGAACATAAGAAAAAGATTGTTAAGAAAACAAATGTGCATGTGAAAAAAATCAGTTGACCTGTAGAGGAACCCCAGTCAGACAATCAGCTGACCGCTGAGAGTAAACCCTACAGGCCGGAAGAGAATGGAACGACATATACCAGAGTCTCAGAGGGAAAAATTGTCAACTCAGAATGCCGTACCCAGCAAAACATTCCTTTGTCTTAAAAAATCAAATGAAATTCTTCCAAAGTGAAGAAGAGCTCAAAGAATATGCCTCTTCCAGGGCCCGGGGCAGTGGCCTAGAGGCTAAAGTCCTCACCTTGCACGCACCAGGATCCCATATGGGCGCCAGTTCTAATCCTGGCAGCTCCACTTCCCATCCACCTCCCTGCTTGTGGCCTAGGAAAGCAGTCAAGGACAGCCCAAAGCCTTGGGACCCTGAACCTATGTGGGAGACCTAGAAGAGCTCCTGGCTCCTGGCTTGGGATTGGCGCAGTACCGGCCATTGCAGTCACTTGGGGAATGAAACATCAGATGGAAGGTCTTTCTGTCTCGTCTCCTCTCGGTCTGACTTTGTAATAAAAATAAATAAACCTTTAAAAAAAAGAATTGGCCTCTTTCAGACTTGCCCTATAAGTAATGTTTACAGAAGTTCCTTTGCCAGGAAAGAGAAATAGCACCCACGAATACCAGAGGAAAGTGTGCAGAACAGCCCAGCAAAAGAACAACAGAAGACTAAATCAAAGAACCCATTGCTAAAATAACAGGGTTAAATTCAAGGATTTACAGAGTTTCAGAACACAGTGAGAGCAAAGCAAACAACCATATGAAGAAGTGGAAGAAAAAAATGAAAAGACGTTTTTTCTTCCTATAAAGATTTATTTAGTTATTTATTTTTATTGTTAGGTCAGATAAACAGAGAGGAGGAGAGACAGAGGGGAAGATCTTCCTTCTGCTGTTTCACTACCCAAAGTGGTCACAATGGCCGGAGTTGTGCCTATCTGAAGCCAGGGTCCTGGAGCTCTTCCGGGTCTCCCACGCGGTTGCAGGGCCCCAAGGCTTTGGGCCATCTTCCACTGCTTTCCCAGGCCACAAGCAGGGAGCTGGATGCAAAGCAGGGTTGCCGGTATTAGAACTGGTGACCACATGGGATCCTGGTGTGTGCAAGACAAGCATTTTAGCCACTAGGCTATCGTACCATACCTGAAAAGAAGTTTTCCAAAGAACAAATTCAAATGGCTAATAGACATGTGAACAGATGGTGCAGGCTCCTTAGCCATCAGGGAGATAGAATTGAAAACCACATTGAGGTTCCACCTAACTCCAGTGACATTGGCCTACATTCAGAACTGTACTATAATAACACCTGCTGATGTGGATGTGGGAAGAAGGGTACCCTCTTCTCACTGCTGCTGCGAGTGTAGGCTAGTACAACCACTGTGCAAGTCAGCATGGACAGTGCTAGGAGAACTGCAAAGAAACCTAACATATGACCCAGCTCTCCTGCTCCTAAGAATATATCCAAAGGAATGAATTCTGCAAGCGAGAAAGACATTTGTAATTCTATATTTACAGAGGCATAATCTGCAAAAGCAAAGACATGGAAACAACCCAGATGCCTGTCCAAAGATGAGAGGTTAAAGAAATTGTGGTACACCTGCTCCATGGAAAATTCCTCAGCCATTCAAAAGAATGGAATTCTACTATTTTCAACCAAATGGTCCCAACTAGAGATCATTATGCTCAGTAAAATAAGTCAATCCCCAAAGGACAAATACCACATATTCTCTCTGATATAATCAACCTTCAAGCAAATTATAAGATCAGTAGCCTTTCAATATTATCTTTGCTGCAATCCATGGGTTTTGATATTTTTTTTATCTTCATTTCTTCAAGATAGTTTCTTGTTAAATTTCATTGACAAATAGATCACACGGTGCATCATTTTCTCCAGGAAGATTTTCTGGTTTTTTTTTTTTTTTTCATTTCTTCATCGACACATTAGTTACTCAATCAGCATGTTATTTAACTCCATGGTGTTATACAAATGTTTAACTTTATTCCTGTTGTTGATTTTGTTGTGTGGCTTTTTATTTAAGGGATTATCTAGTGACTGTGTAATAGAGACTATCATATCCAGAGGTGAAGATATGGCACAATGTGCATCTCTACTTCTAAATCAAAGATGGACTCCCTATGAAACTGTTGGATGTATCTTGGTAATAGGATATTGGACTGTCTGCATTGTCTGTAGCAGCAATATCAGGTTACACTTAAATAGCAGAATGATGGAGTTATAACTGCTTATGAAGGTTTATACTATTGTAATAATGTGGAGGAAATCAGCTGGGATGAGGGAATTTGGGGAGGTTAGGGTGAGGGAAATCCCAGAGCCTATGGAAATGTATCAAAATTAAAAATAAAATAGAAGGAAAAAGAAAGAATTTAAGTGTACCTTAAGAAATAAAAAAAAAAGGTTGCTTTAGCTATTCAGACTGTTGCATTTGAATATGAGTTGTAGCACCGTTTTTTCTGTATCTGAGAATATTATAGGTTATGATTGAGATTGTACTTTATATGTTAATTTTTTGGTAGTTTGGGCATTTTGGTAATATTAAATCTTCAAAACCATAAACATGAAATTTTTTTTGTATGTTTTGATCTCTTCTG